GAAGATAGCCCTCGTGTAGCTTTGCGCGAAATTCAAAACAAACAAACAATTAATAAAACAAGGTCTGATTCATTATTCAGTTTAGTAAACTTAATAACTCGATTTCCTCACATGTACACTTCTAAACTGACTGACTGCACGGCCACATACATCTCTATAAGCAACAAGCCACATGCCCCCCAGTGGCACAGTGGTATGTTTACGGATTCATAACGCTGGAAACCGGGTTTAGATACTCGCGGTGGGCAGAGCACAGATATCCCTTTGTGAAGCTTTGTGCTTAACTACAAACAACAACAAGCCACAAATAATAATAATAAAATACGGTGAATTTTTTAGGGATAAGCAGACTTCACAGGAGTCCACTCTTTTCCACAACTCCGTCAATTCTTCTTTCCTTTGTCCTCCACTTTTACCCATCAGCGTCGTGATCCAATCAACCGTCTTTTCAAGGCAAAGTGTGACGTTTCAGCATTTGTTAGTCTCATGTTTTTAGCTCTGTCTTTGATACCATCGACCCAACGCTTCCTTAGTATTCTTCTGCCTCTATTTCTTGTTAGTTGTAAATTATATTCTCTTGCTGGTGGCTACTCTAAATTCAATTTGCACTAAGTGGCTGAACCATTTCAATCTCTGATTTTCTATATATTTCAGTGACGGTTTCAATCCAAGCTGTTGTGTGATCGTTTCACTTCTTACTTTATCCAGTCTGGTCTTACTTACAACTTTACGGAGGTATCGCATTTCACATAATTTTATTCTTTATTCGGTTCTCTTACTGGCAGTCCATGTCTGGCATAAATATGGTATAAATACGATGTTGATATGTGTTATTTTAGTTTCTAAGAGAATGTCTTTATTGGACATCACAATGTGGGGGGGGGGCATCTAATAGGTTCCATTGTAAGAGAATGTCTTTATTGGACATCACAATGTGGGGGGGGGGCATCTAATAGGTTCCATTGTTTGCTTTCTGACATCTTGTTTCTATCTCCCTGTCTAATTTGCTATCTTCCTTGAAGACGCTCCATAAATACTTGAACTCCTTAATTTGCTCCAGTTGGATATCCTCAATAGTCAGTCTTGTAGTTTTCTTGGTGTTTTCCCAATGCTCGTCTTTACCTTGCTGATTCTCATATCATACTTTTTGCATTGTGTGTTCAGTTTATTAAGATGGCTTTTTCATCTTTGTCAAACAGGGCCTGATCATTTGGGATCATGAGTTCATTGATTTTTCTGGCATTAAATTTGCTTCTTTTGCTGGCCCATGTATATTGTGAAGAGTAGGCACGACAGGGCACATCCTTGAAGCACGCCAGATGTTATATCTATTCAATTTTTCAATCCACTTTATGTTCTAACAGTACATTTGCTACTCTTATATTGCCCAGTAAAGTGCCCTTTGCACCATAATTTTCTAGTATAGTCCATAGTGCAGCTCTGCCGACCCGATCAAACGCGTTTTATCAAGTCAATAAAAACTAAATTAAGTTGTTGATTGTGTTCTATTGTCTGTTCACTTAGCTGTAGCAGCGTGAATATGGCATCAGTGCAATTTTTGCCACTGTG